GACCTTCAACACGCCGGCGACCTACGTGCAGATCCAGGCCGTCCTCTCGCTGTACGCCTCCGGCCGAACCACCGGCATCGTCCTCGACTCTGGTGACGGCGTCTCGCACACGGTGCCCATCTACGAGGGATACGCCCTGCCGCACGCCATCCTCCGCATTGACCTTGCCGGCCGCGACCTAACCGAGTACCTGGTGAAGATCCTCACCGAGCGCGCCTACTCCTTCACCACCACCGCCGAGCGGGAGATCGTCCGCGACGTGAAGGAGAAGCTCTGCTACGTGGCCCTGGACTTTGAACAGGAGATGGCCACCGCGGCAAACACCAGCTCGCTGGAGAAGAGCTACGAGCTGCCCGACGGCCAGGTGATCACCATCGGCAATGAGCGCTTCCGCTGTCCGGAGGCGATGTTCCAGCCGTCCTTCCTCGGCATGGAGGCGGTCGGCATCCACGAGACCACCTTCAACTCCATCCTCAAGTGCGACCTGGACATCCGCAAGGACCTCTACGCGAACATCGTCCTCTCGGGTGGCACTACGATGTACCCGGGCATTGCCGACCGCATGCAGAAGGAGATCACCGCACTGGCGCCGCCCTCTATGAAAATTAAGATCATCGCTCCGCCGGAGCGCAAGTACTCCGTCTGGATCGGCGGCTCCATCCTCGCCTCCCTCTCCACCTTCCAGCAGATGTGGATCAGCAAGCAGGAGTACGACGAATCAGGTCCCTCCATTGTCCACCGAAAGTGCTTCTAAACTTGAAAGTGATTGTTTGTTGTCTCTTGTTATCTGCTGTATACTTAAATCTGCTTAAAACGCCATCATTATATGAGTTGACCGAGAATTTTAAAAACCAAAATAAGATGCAGTTTCCCGTTTTTATGTATGCAAAAAGAAAGCTTTTTATTGCTCCACCACCCGAGCCATTCTAATAAAAAAATGTTAACAACAAACCCCTGTTTGTAAAGTGTCAAAAAGCCCGTTAAAAAATTGCAAAAACAATGGACAATGGAATCAGCGGCTTTGGCTGATAAAATTTTGCCGCCGTCGATTACCTCATCGTTATCGAGCATTGCTGTGGAGTCGTCGTCCACTCTTTCTCACCGTCGTCTGCTGAACAGCATACCCTCTTTTCTCCTACCTCTTCTCCCTCATGTCCAAATATGGGCAGAAAAAGCAGCAGCAGCATGTTCTGAAATTGCACTGGAGAAAGTGTTGTACCGCCTCCTGCAGTGTTGCTGCTGCTAATGAATGTACAGCACACTAGAGACACATTGAGGTTGTTCACTATAAAAGACTAGAGCACAAATCAATTGTCTGGGGAAAAAGTGGAAAGAGAAAAATGAAAACAAACCTGCCACCTGTAACTGAAAAGAAGAATTCGAAAAGGAGTAAGAAGAAGAGGACTGTGGTTGTGCTAATCAGCTTCTTCTTTGTCAAACGACGTGGCAACATTCTAGTTCGACTAAAGAAATGTGTTGGTAAGTGTTTTTTCAAAATTGCTTTTGTATAAACTAACAGTTTTTTCCGCTGCAGTCAAAGTTCGCTTGAAGATCTTGCTGAAAAATAAAAAGAATAAACAAAAGAAATAACAAAATCTACACTTGAACGTAAAATATCAACTGGTCGAGC